AAGCTGGTTCTTTCCATTCCCTCTTTTTAGAAGTGGATTTAAAAAAAATGTATTATACACGTTTTCAATTCATATAGTACTAAATGAAGTTAAATGGCGATGAAACAGAATGATCCACCATGGTTCCTTGCCCCGACTATCCCCGCCCTCCTGAGCCTGGTTACTTCTGGGGAGCAGGCTTTTAGTGGAATCTTCTCGTGCTTCTTGTGCTTGTCTCCATGTCTCCTGCATTCTCCTTCTATTTTAGACACTGTCTACTGCATTCCTAGTAACCACAGTCCACTCTCGAGGTTATGTCATGATTTCTAGTAAATTAATAATGTTTACAGAATTGTGACTGTGTAAATATTGTTCACCATAGAGCTTAATGATGTACTCTGATTAGGGCTGTTTCCTTCCTTCCTGGTGTTTAATGTCTTCTGCCATGATCTCATCCTCATTCCCTTCCATACCTCTGGCACCAAAGTTGGGCCTGTGCCCTCAACGCCCTCTCTGTGTTCTGTCCTCATATGCTCAAGTTACCTCCTAGGGCTATCACATACTGTCATTCTGGACCTTCCTCTCACTGCTTCCTGGGTTGGGCCTTTATTTCCCAGCTCCCCTCTCTTCTTGCTTAATTTACCCTCTCTTTGCAGGAACACATCATCAGTTAAGAATCCCTTTCTAATATTAATAATTTTTTAAAAATAATAGTTTTTGGACTTCCTCATTATAGCATTTGTATTTTTAATGTTCATTAATTGAAAAAATACATAAGGACTAAAAATTACCATGAAGACACACTGCTTTTAAGTGAATTTGTGTGTTATTTACCATAATAGCACTTAATAAACATGTGAAAAACTGTTAAGAGTCTGGGCTGAAGGGTTAGTTCAATCTAGCTTCAATCTTTGATCCTCCATTCCTCATCTCACCCCTTTGCCTTGTTTTATTTTTTGGGATGAGCCTCCTGCACTCAGTGGGATTATGCTGAAATTGAGTCAGTGGTTTAAGACCCAACTCCAAGAGGTACGTGTGGCCATGGTTGGCCAATCAGCATCTCCTCTTCCCTGATCCAGGGTTCAAGCCGGCCAATCAGAGGCCTTTTTAGGGATGGCTTTTCTATGAGCTATTTCTTCCACAGCAGTGTAGAGTTGGAATGGCCACCTTTACAGCCTCCCAAGGCTGAAGCCATCACAGAGGAAAGCAGATGGGGAGAGGATAACATTTGAGCCATGGATGCAGCCAGCTGTAAACTCTTAGGCTTTCCTGTTATACGAGCTGATATAGCATATACCATTTTTTGTTTAAGCATGTTTTAGTTGGATTTCTTTCACATGGAACACAAAGAGCTCAAACTAATATATCATCTTTTTGGGTATGGGCAAGTTATCTCTCCCCCAGCCTCAGTTTCTTTTTCTTTTAGTTGGGGAGAATTAGATCCACCTCACAGGTAGCTGTATGATTTAAATAACATGTATATATGCTCAATATATAATCACTACTAGTGACATAATAACTATATTTGGGGGAGACAGGATTTATTTGCTCTGCAAGTAGTGCTTAGGGCACATGTACATTCAGAGGCCCCTGCTGTAACCGGCCCTCCAAGGATCTATAGCCACAGGTTGGAAATCACTGCTCCAGAGGTTGCCAGTTGAGCAGAGTAACTTTATTCTCCTGTCCCCATTTGGTCTGTATGTAATCTTCTTTAAGAGTGGGGGAACACAGTTCCCCCACCCCATTCCTCCTTAACTGGCCTGGTACACAGGTTACTTCCAAGCAGGATCCCCGTCCTGTCATACCAATTCTCAAATGTGCTCAGGAGCCAGGTGCTCCCAAGTTGTGCTTTCTACAGAACACTTATTTCTGTTAGAGAACTAGAAAGAACCTTGCCAACAGGAACTATGGCTGCTGTTTATTCATGTGGAATAAAATCATAATGATCCACACACATTTCCCAGAAAAAGCAAAACAAAACAAAAAAACACCTGTCAACTAGTGCATGACAGCCGGTGGAGTTTTTTCTTTAACGTTCTCTTGCTGCTTACTAATTCACTGCGTCGCCAATGATCTCTGTAAGAGCAGAGAGATAAACAATATTTAAGTTGTGAAAAAATTAAATGTGAAATCATAATAGCTATTAGTTAATTTTGTTTTAGGCATATTACAAAGTAATTTCCTGGGAACCACTCTGCAGTACTGTGACCCCATATGGGGATTCTTTTTTTTGAGACAGAGTCTCACTCTGTTGCCCAGGCTAGAGTGAGTGCCGTGGCATCAGCCTAGCTCACAGCAACCTCAATCTCCTGGGCTCAAGCGATCCTATGGCCTCAGCCTCCCAAGTAGCTGGGACTACAGGCATGCGCCACCATGCCCGGCTAATTTTTTCTATAATTTTTAGTTGTCCAATTAACTTTGTTTCTATTTTTAGTAGTAGGATGGGCTCTCGCTCCTTGCTCAGGCTGGTTTCGAACTCCTAACCTTGAATGATCCTCCCGCCTTGGCCTCCCAGAGTGCTAGGATTACAAGCATGAGCCACCAGGCTGGGCCCATAAGGGGATTCTTAATTCCCAATTTTTTTTTTTTTTTTTGAGATAGAGTCTCACTCTGTTGCCCGGGCTAGAGTGCTGTAGCATCAGCCTAGCTCACAGCAACCTCAAACTCCTGGGCTAAAGCAATCCCTTCTGCCTCAGCCTCCCGAGTAGCCTGGGAATATAGGCAATGCACGACCATGCCGGCTAATTTTTCTTTTTTTTAGTTGTCCAATTATTTCTTCTTTTTTAGTAGAGATGGGGTCCCGCTCTTGCTCGGCCTCTTTGAACTCCTGACCTTGAATGATCCCTTCTACCGCTCCTGCCTCCCAGAGTGCTAGAAATTACAGGCGTGAGCCACCATGCCTGGCCCCCAATTTTTTTTTTAAATTTTTTTCCTAAATGCCGAGTACGAACACATGATATAAAATCTAAAAGGTACGAAAGGTATATGGCACTGCAGCCTCCCAGCTGGCTTCCCTGAAGGCAACCATGATTACCACTTCCTTTTGTGGCCTTCCAGAGACACCTTAAACCAGCACTGTCCAACACAGCTGTAGTGATGAAAAGACTGTACCGTGCTGTCCGATAGCCGGCAGCCACCTGTGGCTATTGAGCACTTGAAATGTGGCTAACGTGACTTAGGAGCTGACTTTAAAGAGTATTTAATTTGCATTTAAAGTTATATTTATATTGAAATAGCCATGTGTGGCTAGTGGCTACTCTGTTGGACCATGCAGGACAGTGGCACACTGTACACACCTCACTACATCTTGCTTTGTCCCCTTAATGCCTATATATATATCTTGGAGATAGATTGTTCCAGTCTGCCTCATTATGTGAAACTTATGCGTAATATCCTATTGTAGCCGGGCGCGGTGGCTCACGCCTGTAATCCTAGCTCTCTGGGAGAGGCCGAGGCGGGCGGATTGCTCGAGGTCAGGAGTTCGAAACCAGCCTGAGCAAGAGTGAGACCCCGTCTCTACTATAAATAAATAGAAAGAAATTAATTGGCCAACCAATATATACAAAAAATTAGCCAGGCATGGTGGCGAATGCCTGTAGTCCCAGCTACTTGAGAGGCTGAGGCAGGAGGATCCCTTGAGCCCAGGAGTTTGAGGTTGCTGTGAGCTAGGCTGACGCCATGGCACTCACTCTAGCCTAGGCAACAGAGCGAGACTCTGTCTCAAAAAAAAAAAAAATATCCTATTGTAGTCTATGACGGTAATCCCTTATCCACCTTGGAGAGGCGAGGCTCATCACTTCTTAAAACAAGCTCTAAAATCTTCCACATACCATAACCAAGACACCTTGAAACAACCCTGGGCTCCCCACGCCTCTGCTCTTTTTAGCCAGGGCCTGAGATAGCTTGACACTAAATAATCCCTTTTGGGGACTGGGGGAAACAATTTACCATGAGTCACTGCCCTAAAATACATTCTCCCCATGTGGCTTGTGTCTGGAATTCAATGGTGAAGGGGGAATTCTTTGGGGTGAATCGCAGCTCTAATGGCGCAAAGTCTCCTGGGAAAGGCAGCAATTAAGGTAGAACATCTGGGCTCATCTTGCTTTTGCCCTGATGAGAGGGGCCAAGGTGCTTTGTGGAGCAGCAGGGGCTCTGATGGCGAAACTCAGTTCTTAAAATTGTCCATACACCCATGTGGATCCCTCACTAGGTCTGTGCCTTAGTCAGCCTTCCTCTTAGGGTATTTCAGATGATAAGAATCTTTCCAGTTGTAAATGGTCCCTAGAGAAAGAAATTTCACTACCTGTTTTGGTGTTTGGCCCTGTAGATGCTCTTTTTTCTAGAGGTGCCTCTAGGGAGACAGTAGATACAGGATTTGGTGTCAGACCTGGGGATAGATCCCAGCTCCAAATGGCATAGTCTCTTTACAGTTCAGGGGTGAATACTTAGCACTATGTGCTGACTTGTAGGAAGTTAGTCTATATTTCATAAGGAATCACGTGGGAGGATGAAGGAACAGTCTAAAACACACCCAGTCATCCCTAAGGGCAGGCTTGGTGCTAGGCATGGGGGGGAGGGAGCAGCGCTGTATTGAGAGGAAGGAAATGTGATTCTTGCCTTGTCAGAGTCTCTGACCAGTGGAGACTTGTGCTGGAGTCTTCACAGGGACAGATACTACCTTTCGCTACCCTACAGTTCCAGGTAACCACTGCAAGGGGGGACTCAGACTGTGTAACCACCAAAGCAGTGCTGGTCACACACTGGGATAGATAAAATTATTGGCTCTGATTCCTAACCCCTCCCTGCATCCACCACTTGCCATGGTCTAATTGTGGGTGGAGGGTATTTTCCTGTCCCCAGGTTTTGGGCTTGCCTATGTGTCTTGCTTTGGCTCACGAGATGAAGCAGAAGCAAAAGTGTGCCAGTTCTGTGCCCTGGCTTGAACCCTTAAGCATTTCTGCAGGCCCTCGAGCACTTCCACGTTCACCATGAAAAGAGCATCTCTTGGGTAGCTGCCTCTTCAGCCTGGGCTGCAGAAAGAGCACATGTGGGACAGAGCTGCCCAGCTGATTTGCAGGCCAGCAGGGAGAAGCAGAGCCGACCAGCCAGCACAGCACTAAAGCCTAACTACACGAGGCCAACATGCACACCCGCTGAGTTCTGGAATGGTTTATGACATAGCATTGCTGTGGCAACAATATGAAGCAATATGAACACCTGCCCTAATAGGTTACAGGCTCAGCAGCTACCATAGAGACCCAGCACAGCAGTGGGTTAAATAAGAAGTTTATTTTATTTTTTTTTATTTTTTATTTATTTATTTATTTATTTTTTTAAGAAGTTTATTGAGCTGTCATGTCATAATCCACTGTGTCAGGGACCTAGGCTCCTTTTATTTTCCTTGGGCATGGCCCTCATCCTCAGGAAGCCTTCCCCATTGTTCACGGGTTAAAGGCTTCATTTCCTTCAGCCCTGCAAGCCCAAACATTCCACAGGGTGGTGCCAACCCCTTTCCAGCATCACCCTCTAATATTGCAGTCCCCAATCCCATGGCCTACTGGGAACCAGGCCTTGAGCAAGCAAAGGTTTATCTGTATCTATAGCCGCTCCCCATCACTCACATCACTGCATGAGCTCCGCCTTCCTCACCCACCTCCATCCATGGAAAAATTGTCTTCCATGAAACTGATCCCTGGTGCTAAAAAGGTTGGGGACTGCTGCTCTAACACCTAAAGCCCCACCTCTAATGGGTTCCCACTTCTGCTTCAGACCTCAGTGTTTTTCCTCTTCTTGAATGGGGGTGTCCCTCTCCCCACATCCTCCAGGCCTCACCAGCAACTCACTCTCACCAGGACATCAGGAGCCAGAGCTGGGCAAGCCTGGTGCTCTCCAGGGAGTGAGAGGCCCTGACCTCCAGGGAGGGGGTGGTGGTGGCGGGGCCACTGAGCAGACTAGGCTAGTCTTCCTCCCACTGTTCCCCGCCTCCCCTACCCTCACCTTCCTGCTGACCTCCAGGCAGAGAACCTCACTGGCCCTCACCTTCTCTGTCATACTGCAGTAGTTTAGTGAGCATAGAAAGGCTTGTTCAAATAGGTCCCCTGGTCTAAGTGACTGACTTGGGGGCAGACATGGGAGTTGGAAGGGAGGTGTGAGATCAGCCATTTAAATAAGTATCCTAGTGATGTCTGAGGATAGAGATCCATATACTGTATTTTCAGAAATTGTATTTCTCTGTGGATACCTTTTCTCTGTCAGCCCTTTTAAATGGGGGGTACATTTTCTCTGATATTGTATGGCCTGCAGACCACCCAGCCTTCAGTCCAGTGAGAACTTTCCAGAACAAACTACAGATCAATCCCAGGCATTTCTCCAATCACCTCTGGGGCTGACTGCATATCAGCTGCTGCCCAGCTGGAATGACACCCTTCTCTGATTCAGCTCAGTCTCCACCATGTTATTACCGCCCCCCTTCTTTCACAAAGCCTTGGATACTCACAAGCCTACCCAAAAGGGGATACCTCCAAATGCAAGTGCAGGTCCTCACACACCTGGATGTGGAGCTGTGCTGCAGAGTCAGTTGGCTCTCCGTGCTCGTTTTCACCCCTTTCTATGCAGGTGCTGGAAGGCCGGAACTACGCTGCAAGGCTCCCTTGCTACAGGGCGCTGCTGAGAAAGTGTACTCATGGCAAAGTGAGGAGGTGAAAAGGAGGTAGAAATCATTCTTTGCTCCTCTGTTGCAGCAGATGTCCAGGCTATAGTGGCCAGCAGGACTCCATGGTCCCCTAACTCATTGCCAACCTGGAGACTGGGGGCTGCAGTGGCCTCAGCGGTGGTTTCCCCAAGTTTCCTGACTCCTTTGATTCTCCAGAAGCCAGCTGTGGTAAAACAACCCACCCCAACTCCACTACCTCTAGCCCCTCAAATGATGAGCACTAGTTGCAATATCTAGAGTGGCTTCTGTTTCCCTGTGTGTGGCAGTGTGACACAGTAAGAAATATATAGTTGATCCCTGCCTCCAGTTCCTGACACAAAGCTCCTAAAACCCTTGCAATTTCCTGACCGAGAGGGGTGCTAGGAGCATCTTTTGTTCCAACACTTGGTCCTTGACCCTGGTTCCTGACACAGAGCTCTTTAAATCCCCTGGAATTTTCTGGGTGATAGGAGCATCTTTTGTTCTAATGAGGTGACTCATGGTGGGCTCTTAGATGGGGCTGGTCACCAGAAAGACCAAGTCATGTCTAGAAGTTTGGGACCTTCAGCCTTACCCCCCCCATCCTCTGGGAGGGGAGAGAGGCTGGAGATTGAGTTAATAATCCATCATGCCTACATGACAAAGCCTCCATAAAAATCCCTCAAAGACAGGGTTTGGAGAGCTTCTGGGTTGCCGAACATATCCATGTGGCATGGGGGTGGTGTACCCCCAAATCCATGAGGACCTCTCCAGACCTCACCCCATGCGTTTCTTCATCTGGGTGTTCATTTCTAGTCTTTAAAATATCCTTTGTAACAAATTTGCAATGGTAAGTAAACTGTTTTCCTGGATCCTGTGAACCTTTTTGGCAAATGATAGAACCTCCAGTTTATAGCCAGTTGGTCAGAAGCACAGGTGACATAGCACACGGTAATACTAGAACGGGTTTTTTTGGTGTGGGGTTGGGTGTGTGGAGAGTCGGTTGTGGTGTGAAGTGCGGAGGGGCGGGGGGAGGAGGGGGGGCGGCGGGGCGTGGCTCAGCCTAGCTCACACAACCTCAAACTCCCTGGGCTCAAGCGATCCTGACTGCCGCAGCCTCGAGTATGCCGAGTAGCTGGACTACAGGCATGCGCCACCATGCTGGCTAATTTTTTTTTAATATATATATCAGTTGGCCAATTAATTTCTTTCTATTTATAGTAAGAGACAGGTCTCGCTCTTGCTCAGGCTGGTTTTGAACTCCTGACCTTGAGCAATCCGCCCGCCTCGGCCTCCCAAGAGCTAGGATTACAGGCGTGAGCCACAGGACCGGCCTTTTTTTTTTTTGAGACAGAGTCTGTTGTCCGGCTAGAGTGCCGTGGAGTCAGCTAGCCCACAGCAACCTCAAACTCCTGGGCTCAAGCGATCCTGCTGCCGCAGCTCCCGAGTAGCTGGGACTACAGGCATGCGCGACCATGCTCGGCTAGTTTTTCTATGTATTTTTAGTTGACCAATTAATTTGTTTCTATTTTTTTAGTAGAGACAGGGTCTCGCTCTTGCTCAGCTAGTCTCAAACTCCTGAGCTCAACAATCCTCCCACCTCTGCCTCCCAGAGTGCTAGGATTACAGGCATGAGCCACCCGCGCCTGGCCCTAGACTTTTGACTGACATCTGAAGAGGGGCAGTTTTGTGGACTGAACCTTAGCCTGTGGGTCTGACGCTAACGCTGATAGTGTCAGAATTGGATTGTACAATGCACAGTCGATGTCCACAGAATATTGAGAATTGCTTCGTATGGGGACCGCCCCCCCAATCTGGTATCAGAAGTGAAGTACTAAGAATGAGAGTAGTAGAAAAAACAGTTCAATTTTTTAGACAGATCTCATTCTGTTGCCCTGCTAGACTGCCGTGGATTAGCCTAGCTCACAGCAACCTCAAGCGCCTGGGCTCAAGCAATCCTGCTGCTCAGCCTCCCGAATAGCTGGGACTACAGGCATGCCCACCATGCCGCGCTAATTTTTCGGTATATTTTAGTTGGCCATTTAATTTCTTTCTAATTTTAGTTAGAGA